ATATAATATAATATAATATAGTATATTATAATATAATATAATATAATATAATATAATATAATATGATTATACAATATAAAAATAATAATAAGACATTTATTCTGATTTTTAACAAGTGTTATTGTAACATTTGCCGTAAATAACTTATAAATGATATGAATAATTGCAAAGTAAAAAATTAGTAACCCGTCATTTTGACGGGTTCCGTAAATCTAGTGTTAATCGAGAAGGAATAATAAAATATACAATTATAATAACAAATAAATAATATAAAAAACATATTAGACTATAAATTGTTATTCAAAATGAAAATGATCGAAAACAATTCTATGATATCGAAATTAAATTGCGATGCACTCCCGTTCGTGCAATTTTATTAACAGCGTGAAAATAATTCGAGAATCTGACATTTCATATTTTGCGGTTGAATTCGACATTTGTTGTCATTACGATCCTCGTTATATCCTTCGACATTTGTCCTCGTTGTAATATCTGAACATTAATTGTGCTCTTTCAGTACGTTTCACACGCAATCTCGTTGTTCACTGCTCTACGCATGGCATTCGGCGAAGACGTCGATGTATTAGGTTCTACATCAAGTAATAGTACACGCTGAGTTGATTAATTGCTCGTAGCAATTAATCGGGTACACGTGACATATAAGAACATATTTTCAAGTTTATATTACGGAATAAAGGTATTGGTGCTACTTACATACTTCTTCAGGAAATCTTATGAACCACTTCCAGTAACCCTGACCTTGATATACGTTGTCCATGCCTGTCTTGTAAGAGTTAGAGTGAATGAAAATTGACTTACAAAATAATTATTTATAGATAGAACGTTATTCATCAACGCTGTGCACAAAACTGTGAACCATTCTACTAATTCTGTTGATCCTGAATTTTGGCGTTCACTTGCAAAATATAAAAGGGTTTGTGAAGAAACGCGCGATCGCGCATTATTCCGTATTATACAAAGAATTATGAAAATTATGAAATTGATGTAGCATTGAGAACAATCAAATAAAACAATTAAACTGGGAACTCGTGTATTGTTCGAAGGAATGGACGCCACTCCAGTATTTTAACACTAGATTTACGGAGCACCAAAAACAGCTGTTTTATATTAGTTTGCAAAGATAACAATAAGACATTTATTCTGATTTCAACACAATAGAGGAGACCATGTCACACTATTCGATGCGATAAAATAGGGCGTACAAGACTGGCACACAAATTCCTCCCACAAAATGAAAAATAAAATCCACAAAACTCCAATGGGAATTCAGTACATGTGAGCGACGATTTGTATCGCTTACAGTTCAACACGCAATCATTGTACGAAATTAGACGAGCACGTAATGGACACATATCCCCAAAGAATTCACCGAAATCTGCAAATGAAAACGAAACACACGAAACCTCCCGAGACTGATAAAATCTCAGTACAGAGATGTAATGTAAACGCCAACATGGTCGTTACTAATGAACAGGTTGTCAATGTGAAGTTTAGAAAAGAAAAGAAAAGAAAAGACAAAGAGATTCTCAGAACGGTCAGAACATATTTAAAACGTATATCGAAGATAATCAATGCAAATACGGGTTGAACAACGTAATTGAAGGTATCAGCGCTAATCGATACCGACAGTCGTAGATTTTTATTCCGATGGTGTACTAAATTCTAGTTGCAGGCATTTCAAATTGTATATGTGAGATTCCTCACCGTCTAACAAGTAGACTCGTAGACTCCCAGCTATCATTAGAATCGTTATAAACACACGCTATTCCACCCATCTATGTCTACCGTGTACGGATGAGGTACTTCCGCAACCGTCCGTGTATAGTTTCCCTAAGTGCTGCATTTATTATTAATTCTTTTCTTCGCTAAGAGATCGGAGAGAAAGAGTTTTCCTCAGAGTCTGTTCGCTGTGCGTCGAATCGAATATTTCCGCCACGAAACGCGGTTCACTTATCGAGCTGATAGCGCGGAACATTTCGTCAACCGTTCACGTAAACTCTCGTGGAAATCAAATAACACGGCGCCTCCGTTGCACGAAATATCCAATTAGACTCGCATTGCAATGTTCGAAAACGTGACACCGGAGAAGGCGATTACGTTCGTCCGATTTAGCGTAGGTTTGATCTGTGCCTGGCCGCTCCCCGCGGTGGCTACGAAAGCTCAGGTTTTGTGTTTCAGAATCACGAAAGTGTTGAATATTCTTAGCGCTCTTGGTCTATTCTTTCCGGTATTGTACGCAATGGTTCTTCACCGCGACGATGCGATCGAATTCACGAAGGCGGCGCTCATGTTAATAGCTTGTGCCCAACTTCTAACGCAGATACTGATTTGTAGCAGTCAGTATGACCGTTTTCAGGTAAGAACTTTGTCGTTCATTTTGCTTCGTTCAGTTTGCTTTCCGACCATAAACACATTACCCTGATCTAGAAGTGTGTTCGCTGAAGTTTATGCTAACGAACGTTTCTCTAACAATACTACTCTCTATAGTATGCATTTCTATATTTATTTGCATGCACGTTACATATACGCTGCATACAACACCTCCACAGAATTGCGCGGTTTAACTGAATCTTAACGAGTTACATTTTTGTAATGATGTGCTATCTATTCTGGCTAAGGAAATGTTTCAAGCGATCATCGGTGCCACAGGATAACAGTAAATTCTCCGTAATTAACGCTCAGCTTGGAAACAAAAATGGATCATGTTTTGGAAAAGGAGATACGATTACTCGATTACAATCGGTAACTATAAAGACGAGCCGCAAGGCTCGAATAATCGTATCTCCTCTTCCCAAATTGACCATTTTTGTTTTCAAACCGAGCGTCAATTAGGGAGAATTTACTATATTATGTATTGTATGTTGTACTATAATATAAATACGTTTGGCGGCATGTATAAAAATGGTTTAACTTTAATAGTTTACTTACGACACAATTAAAATATACATATACACCAGTGATTAACTAAATGAAGAAGTTGTTTGAGTACAAGAAATAATAAATGTAATTACATTTATTTATATTGCAACCCAAAATTCCTAGCTATTGAAGCATAGATGAGAGAACAGTCTGATAACAGCCAAATGTGTGCGGAGGCTAACAAAGTGCATGCGATGCAACATAATTTCAACGACATATTGCAGCGTTTGATCGAGAATATTACAGCTTCCTTCAAGAGCGCGAAGTCCTATGAAAGACGCGTGTTTCAACGATATGTTAATACGTACGCCAAGTTTTACGGACTGGCAGCGTTGTGGTATTACGTGTCGTCAGCGGTCGTCGTTTTCGGAAGTATTTTATTGCCTCAACCATTTCCGACAGTCTCCGAGTATCCGTTCCGCGTCGATTACGAACCAGTGAGGACAATAATCTTCGTGCACCAAGCCTTTGTCGGCTTTCAATGCTCCGCGGCAGTCTGCGTGAACATGTTCGCAGCAGTGTTAATGCTGTACGCTGCGGCGAGATTCGAGATTCTGATGATAGATCTGAAAGAGGCTACCAGCTACGACGCGTTTGCCGTGTGCGTTCAAAAGTATCACGCGGTGACCGGGTGAGTGAGTTTCAAGAATTTTTCATTGAACAGTTGTGACAACGATATTTTGCTTCCTATAGATTCGCGAAGGATGTCGTCAAGGGTACTAGGTATATAGCATTGTTCACGGTAGTTTATAGCGGTATAGCTCTTGTACTCTGTGGTCTGAATATTATAGGAGTGAGTACTTGAAACAAATACGACATGTTCGAATAGTGACATGAATGCAAGCAAAAACGGTATTTTAGCGGCAATCCTTCTTGGTAAAACTGCAGTTTTGTTTCTTGGCTTGGGTTTCATTGGTGGAGGTTTTCATGTGCGTGTTGCCGGCTGATAATTTGATAAATGTGGTGAGTTGCGAATTTGAACTTAATGTTATTCGTTACGAAGGGTTTTCGTTTCGTTGACATAAATTTACATCTTCTGTTTGTTCCTGTACGAAATATTTGTCGCAAGTAGAGTGAGAATACTGTTCGAAGTGCGTACGAATCGAGGTGGTACAATCAAGTACTGGATGTACAGAAAACAGTACTTCGCATTTTGATGCCGCAGGTGCCGGTAGCCATCAGCATAAAATGCATCATCCCTATACTTTCGTTGGAATTTTACTGCTCGGTACAGCTTTATTTTATATTGATATTTATTGGCTCGTCTGTACGAAATGTGGGAACATTTAAGGGGGAAGAAAAATTGGTTTAAAAATTCTACTAATCGTTTTGTTATTCAAAGTATGCATCGTTCGCTCGTAATTTGTAATTTTGCAAGTATGTTTCCCACAAATAAATACAATTAGACTACGGACCTCCGCGCAAAATAAATATTGTGTGAGTCGTAAGAAGCAGAAATGAAGTTACAATGCATTTCTGCTTTCAGTAACTTTTATGATGATATTAAAATAATTTCAAAATCCGACATTTCATATTACACGACCTAATATTTTCATGATATTTGTTCCGATAATAATCTTTGAATAATAATTGTGCGATTCCAGTTCGTTTCAAATGCAGTCTCACTGTTCACGGTCCTGCGAATGATGTTCGGCGAAGACGCTGATCTACTGTCGTCCAAATCAGCCAATAGTACATGTTGCGTTGATTAATCATTTATAGCTTAGAGTACACGTGACACATTGAATCATATTTGGAAGTTTTAATTTTGGAGTAGGGTTACTCTTTCGTTATACATAAGACTATTCATTTAATGAAATAATTACAAGAATCCTATTGGTATATTATTTTATCGATCCTCTGCGTATCGTATTTGCCGATAAGTGACGTTCCGTCGCGCCATATAAATTGCACTAATTAATTACGTAGTTAATGAAAGGATGATTAGTGCACGAAAATATTCTGCGTCTACGTTACTATTGCATTTTTCTCGTCATTCCGTTGGTGACAATGATGTAATCTTACTTTCTGTGCTGTTTTAACATCTATTTGCACAAACGATTCTATTGTAATTTCCTTTCTCTATTTAGTTGAAGACGCTATCACTCACTGCTAGCAATTTTATTTATCTCGCGTATCACAGAAATCTTTGATCACAGATTTATTCGATACACATACTACGTAACTTTAATTTAATGTCATGCGAAGTATCTGAGGGGAGATAACGAAATTAAGATCATAATTTATTTATTTATCCAGTATTATGGAATGTTCAATTTGTGCTGCTAGTTATCAACGCCAACGATGGAGCTAAACCAGGCAGAAGTACTGGCTACTGATGTTACAATTACTTAGTATGTCACAAAAGAAAATCTTTTCTGAGACAGTCAATACCAGTAATAATAAAAATAACATACCTTTATCAGATTGTTTCTGTTACAGTGGAGTGGTATATGACCGTGTGTCCAACTGACGCCCTGATAGACGTGGTGAGTCAATAAATCGATAATTAAAAGCAGCTACAGAGCATATCAAGCCTGCAAAAAAATGTAAGTGAATTACTATATGCGTTTAATCCTTGGACTAGGAAAGGCGTATATGAACGCTTTCACAAGTATGTCAATTTATACGAAAGACGTAAATATACGCCATATTTGTGAACGTTTTATATTAAAACACCAATTATTATTGGAGGAATGTGCAAGTAAATTAAAAACGGCTAAGACTACGCTTGAAATAGATTAAGAACTAGATATCTTTTAAATTTATTTGCAATTAATCATTTCTTTTTAACGCCTAAGAACTATGTCAAATCTTCAGGTACCGTTCTGGACAACCAGCTGCAGCGACTGATATTCGAATATCGCGCCGTCCGTATCGATTGTTCTCTCCTAGGGTGCGCCGCAGTGGCATAATGTTACAATGGAAACAGAATTTTTTTGCTACGAAATTCGATATTATAACACTAAGGAGATTTGGTGGTATCTGTAACTAATTCTTTATTTTCACCACTTCGGTTTTCTACCCAAGCTTCCAGTCATTAAGAAGTACCAAATTAAACTATTGATTTTACTGTTGAAACTCATAATCGGAGTGATAAGACTGACACACAAATTCCTCCTGCAAAATGAAACTCCATCTTAATGTTAAATCTGCAACATGTCGCACACCGCACAACACGGAATTCTAAACTGCACGAAACTGGACGCGCCACGAGATGGAAACAAGTAGCCAAAGAACAGAGCAAACATTCTGAAATTCATAAAATCTACTGGTACATAGGGTGAAATCTAAACACTAACGTAGTCATCGTTAATGACCAGGCTGACCATGCGGAATTTAAAAAATGATAAAAGGGAGCAAGAAAATTCTTCTTGGAACTTTCTGAATGCATTCGAACCATTGATTGAAAAAGTATAACCGATGCAACTATGCGTTGCACAACGTAATTGAAGGTATTGGCACTAATCGATATCAATAGTCGTGTATTTTCATTCTGTTAGGGTACTTAATTCTAGTTGCAAGCATTTCAATTTGCATTCGCGAGACTCCTTGCAATCACTCAAACAAACTCGAGGACTCAGAAGCTATCATTATAACCTCCCATCTACATTCATCATGCGCGGATATGGTACTTCCGCAACTTGCCGTGTATAGTTGCTTTAAGTGTAGCATTTATTTTTAATTCCTTTCATCGCCAGGAGATTGCAAAGCAGCTTTCCGCTTCAAAGTCCGTTCATTGTGCACCGAGAACAGCATTGCGCATAACGTGGAATATTTTCTCAACCGTTAACGTCGCATCTCTCGTCGGAATTCAATTAGGAGACGTCTTCGTTGCACATAATATTCAATTTGACCCGCGTTACAATGTTCGATAACGTGACTCCAGAGAAGGCGATCGCTTTCGTTCGATTTAGCGTATTTTTGATCTGTGGCTGGCCACTGTCATCGATGGCTACGAAAGCTCAGGTGCTGTGTTTCAGAATATCGAAAGTGTTCAATACTATAAGTGCGTTTGGATTACTACTCCCAGTATCGTATGCAATGGTAGTACACGGCGATGATGCCATCGAATTCTCTAAAGCGGCGATCATGTTAAGCGCCTGTTGCCACGTTGTAACACAGATACTGCTGTGCAGCATTCACTACGCACGCTTTCAGGTAAGAGATGCAAAGTTCATTTTAGAGTTTTCTCTTTTGACGACGAACGTATTTGGCGATCTCGTACTGCACTGTTGAAGTTTATTAAAATTTGTGTAGCACGACACTTGTCTAGGTTGCGTGTTTTCCGCATTAGATTCTATGTACTTTCCGTACTCGCTGTATATGACACCTGTCAGATTTTCACAGTCTAACTACAATTTTGGCGAGCGATGCTTTTGTAATCGAATTGCATGGATTCTGAGTACCGAGATGTTTAGAAAAAAGTCATGTCACTAACATATTAATATCTATTGTATGTTGTACGGTAATGCAAATACGTTCGGCTGCAAGTATAAACATGGTATAACTTTAATCACTAACCCATGACACAATGCAAGTGTGTCAAACGTTACTTGTATTATTGTCGAGAAATATGCTGCATTTAATAAAAAGAAANAACTATGCGTTGCACAACGTAATTGAAGGTATTGGCACTAATCGATATCAATAGTCGTGTATTTTCATTCTGTTAGGGTACTTAATTCTAGTTGCAAGCATTTCAATTTGCATTCGCGAGACTCCTTGCAATCACTCAAACAAACTCGAGGACTCAGAAGCTATCATTATAACCTCCCATCTACATTCATCATGCGCGGATATGGTACTTCCGCAACTTGCCGTGTATAGTTGCTTTAAGTGTAGCATTTATTTTTAATTCCTTTCATCGCCAGGAGATTGCAAAGCAGCTTTCCGCTTCAAAGTCCGTTCATTGTGCACCGAGAACAGCATTGCGCATAACGTGGAATATTTTCTCAACCGTTAACGTCGCATCTCTCGTCGGAATTCAATTAGGAGACGTCTTCGTTGCACATAATATTCAATTCGACCCGCGTTACAATGTTCGATAACGTGACTCCAGAGAAGGCGATCGCTTTCGTTCGATTTAGCGTATTTTTGATCTGTGGCTGGCCACTGTCATCGATGGCTACGAAAGCTCAGGTGCTGTGTTTCAGAATATCGAAAGTGTTCAATACTATAAGTGCGTTTGGATTACTACTCCCAGTATCGTATGCAATGGTAGTACACGGCGATGATGCCATCGAATTCTCTAAAGCGGCGATCATGTTAAGCGCCTGTTGCCACGTTGTAACACAGATACTGCTGTGCAGCATTCACTACGCACGCTTTCAGGTAAGAGATGCAAAGTTCATTTTAGAGTTTTCTCTTTTGACGACGAACGTATTTGGCGATCTCGTACTGCACTGTTGAAGTTTATTAAAATTTGTGTAGCACGACACTTGTCTAGGTTGCGTGTTTTCCGCATTAGATTCTATGTACTTTCCGTACTCGCTGTATATGACACCTGTCAGATTTTCACAGTCTAACTACAATTTTGGCGAGCGATGCTTTTGTAATCGAATTGCATGGATTCTGAGTACCGAGATGTTTAGAAAAAAGTCATGTCACTAACATATTAATATCTATTGTATGTTGTACGGTAATGCAAATACGTTCGGCTGCAAGTATAAACATGGTATAACTTTAATCACTAACCCATGACACAATGCAAGTGTGTCAAACGTTACTTGTATTATTGTCGAGAAATATGCTGCATTTAATAAAAAGAAATATCGCATGTAGTTGATCTTATGTAAATCACGACTCAATATTTCGAGATTCGAGGCATTGATTAGTGGTAGCAGCTAAAAATGGGGAAAGCAAGAAGCACTTGATAACATAATTTTGATAACACATTGCAGCGTTTGATCGAAACTATAAATACTACATTTAAGAACGCGAGGTCCTATGAAAGGTGTGTGTTTCAACGATACGTCGACACGTACTCCATGTTTTACGGGCTGGCAACGTTGTGGTATTACGTATCACCAGTTGTCGTTGTATTGGGAAGTATTTTGTTACCTCAACCATTTCCGACTGTCTCCGAGTATCCTTTCCGCGTCGATTACGAACCCGTAAGGACTATAATCTTTGTCCATCAGGCCTTTGTCGGTTTCCAATGCTCCGCATCGGTCAGCGTGAACATGTTCGCGGCACTCTTAATTCTGTACACTGCGGCGAGGTTCGAGATTCTGATGATAGATTTGAAAGAAGCTACCAGCGTTGATGCATTGGTCATCTGCGTAAAAAAGTATCACGTAGTGACCAGGTAAGTAATTTTGGGGAATTCTTTTCCTAGAGAGTGTGAGACTTTTTTAGAACAATCTTCTCGTAATCAGAGAGGTCCATCGTACACAGTACCTTATCATTATTTAATTCAAAAAATATTTGTTTGCATAAAAATGTAGCAGATCTTTGGGCTATAGTGGTATAAAAGTAGTCACCAATGCTGCTGTTTATTGATTCATTCAAAATTGTGCAATATACATTATTATGATGTTATGTTACAACGTAACCTTATACAAACGTTTTGCGTTATGTACTCATAAATACCATCAATTGTGAATTATAGTCATCTATGTTTCACGCAAGACCAGTCTTCGTATATAATTTCATATCGTTACTATAATCGTTTCATTTGTGTCAGCATAGAATTACCACGAAATTGTGTTGGTTTTACGTAGATTCGGAAAAGATGTCGTCGAGGGTACTCGATACATAGCTTTGTTCACGGTACTGTACAGCAGTATAGCCCTTGTATTTTGCGGTCTAAGTATTATAGGAGTGAGTACTTGAAACAACTACGACACGTTCGTGTAGTGACATGAATGCTAGCATAAACGGTATTTTAGCGGCAATCCTTCTTGGTAAAACTGCAGTTTTGTTTCTTGGCTTGGGTTTCATTGGTGGAGGTTTTCATGTGCGCGTTGCCGGCTGATAATTTGATAAATGTGGTGAGTTGCGAATTTGAAATTAATGTTATTTGATGCGAAGATATTTCGTTTCGTTGTTATAAATTTGTGCCTGTACGAATTATTTGTCGCAAGTAGAGTGAAAGTACCGTTCAAAGTGTGTACGAATCGAAGTGGTACGAACAAGTACTGGATGTACAGAAAACAGTACTTCGCATTTTGGTGCCGCAGGAGCCGGTTGCCATCAGCATAAAGTGTATCATCCCTATACTTTCTTTGGAATTTTACTGCTCGGTACCGCTTTATTTTATATTGATAATTATTAGTTCGTCTGTACGAAATGTGGGAACATTTAAAGGGGAAGAAAAATTGGATTAAAAATTCTGGTAAACGTTTTGTTATTCAAAGTATGCATCATTCGTTCCTATGTAATTTTGCAAGTATGTTTCCCACAAATAAATACAATTAGACTACGGACCTCCGCGCAAAATAAATATTGTGTGAGTCGTAAGAAGCAGAAATGAAGTTACAATGCATTTCTGCTTTCAGTAACTTTTATGATGATATTAAAATAATTTCAAAATCCGACATTTCATATTACACGACCTAATATTTTCATGATATTTGTTCCGATAATAATCTTTGAATAATAATTGTGCGATTCCAGTTCGTTTCAAATGCAGTCTCACTGTTCACGGTCCTGCGAATGATGTTCGGCGAAGACGCTGATCTACTGTCGTCCAAATCAGCCAATAGTACATGTTGCGTTGATTAATCATTTATAGCTTAGAGTACACGTGACACAATGAATCATATTTGGAAGTTTAAATTCTGGAGTAATGATACTCTTTCGTTATACATAAGACTGTTCATTTAATGAAATAATTACAAGAATCTTATTGGTATATTATTTTATCGATCCTCTGCGTATCGTATTTGCGGATAAGTAACGTTCCGTCGCCCCATATAAATTGTACTAATTCATTACGTGGTTAATGAAAGGGTGATTAGTGCACGAAAATATTCTGCGTCTACGTTACTATTGCATTTTTCTCGTCATTCCGTTGGTGATAATGATGTAATCTTACTTTCTGTGCTGTTTTAACATCTATTTGCGCAAACGATTCTATTGTAATTTCCTTTCTCTGTTTAGTTGAAGACGCTATTACTCAGTGCTAGCAATTTTATTTATCTCGCGTATCACAGAAATCATTGATCACAGATTTATTCGATACACTTATAACGTAACTTTAATTTAATGTCATGCGAAGTATCTGAGGGGAGATAACGAAATTAGGATCATAATTTATTTATTTATCCAGTATTATGGAATTTTCCATTTGTGCTGCTAGTTGTCAACGCCAACGATGGAGCTAAACCAGGCAGAAGTACTGGCTACTGATGTTACAATTACTTAGTATGTCACAAAAGAAAATCTTTTCTGAGACACAGTCAACACCAATAATAATAAAAATAACATACCTTTATCAGATTGTTTCTGTTACAGTGGAGTGGTATATGACCGTGTGTCCAACTGACGCCCTGATAGACGTGGTGAGTCAATAAATCGATAATTAAAAGCAGCTACAGAGCATATCAAGCCTGCAAAAAAATGTAAGTGAATTACTATATGCGTTTAATCCTTAAACTAGGAAAGGCGTATATGTACGCTTTCACAAGTATGTCAATTTATACGAAAGACGTAAATATACGCCATATTTGTGAACGTTTTATATTAAAACACCAATTATTATTGGAGGAATGTGCAAGTAAATTAAAAACGGCTAAGACTACGCTTGAAATAGATTAAGAACTAGATATCTTTTAAATTTATTTGCAATTAATCATTTCTTTTTAACGCCTAAGAACTGTGTCAAATCTTCAGGTACCGTTCTGGACAACCAGTTGCAGCGACTGATATGCGAATATCGCGCCGTCCGTATCGATTGTTCTCTCCTAGGGTGCGCCGCAGTGACATAATGTTACAATGGAAACAGAATTTTTTTGCTAGGAAATTCGATATTATAACACTAAGAAAATTTGGTGATATCTGTAACTAATTCTCCATTTTCACCACTTCGGTTTTCTACCCAAGCTCCCAGTCATTAAGAAGTACCAAATTAAACTATTGATTTTACTGTTGAAACTCATAATCGGAGTGATAAGACTGACACACAAATTCCTCCTGCAAAATGAAACTCCATCTTAATGTTAAATCTGCAACATGTCGCACACCGCACAACACGGAATTCTAAACTGCACGAAAGTGGTCGCGCCACGAGATGGAAACAAGTAGCCAAAGAACAGAGTAAACATTCTGAAATTCATAAAATCTACTGGTACATATGGTGAAATCTAAACACTAACGTAGTCATCGTTAATGACCAGGCTGACCATGCGGAATTTAAAAAATGATAAAAGGGAGCAAGAAAATTCTTCTTGGAACTTTCTGAATGCATTCGAACCATTGATTGAAAAAGTATAACCGATGCAACTATGCGTTGCACAACGTAATTGAAGGTATTGGCACTAATCGATATCAATAGTCGTGTATTTTCATTCTGTTAGGGTACTTAATTCTAGTTGCAAGCATTTCAATTTGCATTCGCGAGACTCCTTGCAATCACTCAAACAAACTCGAGGACTCAGAAGCTATCATTATAACCTCCCATCTACATTCATCATGCGCGGATATGGTACTTCCGCAACTTGCCGTGTATAGTTGCTTTAAGTGTAGCATTTATTTTTAATTCCTTTCATCGCCAGGAGATTGCAAAGCAGCTTTCCGCTTCAAAGTCCGTTCATTGTGCTCCGAGAACAGCATTGCGCATAACGTGGAATATTTTCTCAACCGTTAACGTCGCATCTCTCGTCGGAATTCAATTAGGAGACGTCTTCGTTGCACATAATATTCAATTTGACCCGCGTTACAATGTTCGATAACGTGACTCCAGAGAAGGCGATCGCTTTCGTTCGATTTAGCGTATTTTTGATCTGTGGCTGGCCGCTGTCATCGATGGCTACGNTCAACACCAATAATAATAAAAATAACATACCTTTATCAGATTGTTTCTGTTACAGTGGAGTGGTATATGACCGCGTGTCCAACTGACGTTCTGATAGACATGGTGAGTCAATAAATCGATAATTAAAAGCAGCTACAGAGCATATCAAGCCTGCAAAAAAATGTAAGTGAATTACTATATGCGTTTAATCCTTAAACTAGGAAAGGCGTATATGTACGCTTTCACAAGTATGTCAATTTATACGAAAGACGTAAATATACGCCATATTTGTGAACGTTTTATATTAAAACACCAATTATTATTGGAGGAATGTGCAAGTAAATTAAAAACGGCTAAGACTACGCTTGAAATAGATTAAGAACTAGATATCTTTTAAATTTATTTGCAATTAATCATTTCTTTTTAACGCCTAAGAACTGTGTCAAATCTTCAGGTACCGTTCTGGACAACCAGTTGCAGCGACTGATATGCGAATATCGCGCCGTCCGTATCGATTGTTCTCTCCTAGGGTGCGCCGCAGTGACATAATGTTACAATGGAAACAGAATTTTTTTGCTAGGAAATTCGATATTATAACACTAAGAAAATTTGGTGATATCTGTAACTAATTCTCCATTTTCACCACTTCGGTTTTCTACCCAAGCTCCCAGTCATTAAGAAGTACCAAATTAAACTATTGATTTTACTGTTGAAACTCATAATCGGAGTGATAAGACTGACACACAAATTCCTCCTGCAAAATGAAACTCCATCTTAATGTTAAATCTGCAACATGTCGCACACCGCACAACACGCAATTCTAAACTGCACGAAAGTGGTCGCGCCACGAGATGGAAACAAGTAGCCAAAGAACAGAGTAAACATTCTGAAATTCATAAAATCTACTGGTACATATGGTGAAATCTAAACACTAACGTAGTCATCGTTAATGACCAGGCTGACCATGCGGAATTTAAAAAATGATAAAAGGGAGCAAGAAAATTCTTCTTGGAACTTTCTGAATGCATTCGAACCATTGATTGAAAAAGTATAACCGATGCAACTATGCGTTGCACAACGTAATTGAAGGTATTGGCACTAATCGATATCAATAGTCGTGTATTTTCATTCTGTTAGGGTACTTAATTCTAGTTGCAAGCATTTCAATTTGCATTCGCGAGACTCCTTGCAATCACTCAAACAAACTCGAGGACTCAGAAGCTATCATTATAACCTCCCATCTACATTCATCATGCGCGGATATGGTACTTCCGCAACTTGCCGTGTATAGTTGCTTTAAGTGTAGCATTTATTTTTAATTCCTTTCATCGCCAGGAGATTGCAAAGCAGCTTTCCGCTTCAAAGTCCGTTCATTGTGCTCCGAGAACAGCATTGCGCATAACGTGGAATATTTTCTCAACCGTTAACGTCGCATCTCTCGTCGGAATTCAATTAGGAGACGTCTTCGTTGCACATAATATTCAATTTGACCCGCGTTACAATGTTCGATAACGTGACTCCAGAGAAGGCGATCGCTTTCGTTCGATTTAGCGTATTTTTGATCTGTGGCTGGCCGCTGTCATCGATGGCTACGAAAGCTCAGGTGCTGTGTTTCAGAATATCGAAAGTGTTCAGTGCTCTAAATGCGCTTGGATTACTGCTTCCAGTATCGTATGCAATGATAGTACACGAGGATGATGCCATCGAATTCACTAAAGCGACGATTATGTTATGCGCCTGTTGCCACACTTTAACACAGATACTGCTGTGCAGCATTCACTATGAACGCTTTCAGGTAAGAGATGCAAAGTTCATTTTACGGTTTTCTCTTTTGACGACGAACGTATTTGGCGATCTCGTACTGCACTGTCGAAGTTTATCAAAATTTTTGTAGCAAGGCGCCTGTCTACGATGCGTGTTTTCCGCATTAGATTCTATGTATTTTCCGTACTCGCTGTATATGACACCTGTCAGATTTTCACAGTCTAACTACAATTTTGGCGAACGATGCTTTTGTAATCGAATTGCATGGATTCTGAGTAACGAGATGTTTAGAAAAAAGTCATGTCACTAACAGATTAATATCTATTGTATGTTGTACGGTAATGCAAATACGTTCGGCTGCAAGTATAAACATGGTATAACTTTAATCACAATGCAAGTGTGTCAAATGTTACTTGTATTATTTTCGGGAAATATGTTGCATTTAATTAAAAGAAATATCGCATGTAGTTGACCTTATGTAAATCACGACACAATATTTCGAGATTCGGGGCATAGATTAGTGATAGCAGCTAAAAATGGGGAAAGCAAGAAGCACTTGATAACATAATTTTGATAACACATTGCAGCGTTTGATCGAAACTATAAATNTCATAAAATCTACTGGTACATAGGGTGAAATCTAAACACTAACGTAGTCATCGTTAATGACCAGGCTGACCATGCGGAATTTAAAAAATGATAAAAGGGAGCAAGAAAATTCTTCTTGGAACTTTCTGAATGCATTCGAACCATTGATTGAAAAAGTATAACCGATGCAACTATGCGTTGCACAACGTAATTGAAGGTATTGGCACTAATCGATATCAATAGTCGTGTATTTTCATTCTGTTAGGGTACTTAATTCTAGTTGCAAGCATTTCAATTTGCATTCGCGAGACTCCTTGCAATCACTCAAACAAACTCGAGGACTCAGAAGCTATCATTATAACCTCCCATCTACATTCATCATGCGCGGATATGGTACTTCCGCAACTTGCCGTGTATAGTTGCTTTAAGTGTAGCATTTATTTTTAATTCCTTTCATCGCCAGGAGATTGCAAAGCAGCTTTCCGCTTCAAAGTCCGTTCATTGTGCTCCGAGAACAGCATTGCGCATAACGTGGAATATTTTCTCAACCGTTAACGTCGCATCTCTCGTCGGAATTCAATTAGGAGACGTCTTCGTTGCACATAATATTCAATTTGACCCGCGTTACAATGTTCGATAACGTGACTCCAGAGAAGGCGATCGCTTTCGTTCGATTTAGCGTATTTTTGATCTGTGGCTGGCCGCTGTCATCGATGGCTACGAAAGCTCAGGTGCTGTGTTTCAGAATATCGAAAGTGTTCAGTGCTCTAAANATGGCTACGAAAGCTCAGGTGCTGTGTTTCAGAATATCGAAAGTGTTCAGTGCTCTAAATGCGCTTGGATTACTGCTTCCAGTATCGTATGCAATGATAGTACACGAGGATGATGCCATCGAATTCACTAAAGCGACGATTATGTTATGCGCCTGTTGCCACACTTTAACACAGATACTGCTGTGCAGCATTCACTATGAACGCTTTCAGGTAAGAGATGCAAAGTTCATTTTACGGTTTTCTCTTTTGACGACGAACGTATTTGGCGATCTCGTACTGCACTGTCGAAGTTTATCAAAATTTTTGTAGCAAGGCGCCTGTCTACGATGCGTGTTTTCCGCATTAGATTCTATGTATTTTCCGTACTCGCTGTATATGACACCTGTCAGATTTTCACAGTCTAACTACAATTTTGGCGAACGATGCTTTTGTAATCGAATTGCATGGATTCTGAGTAACGAGATGTTTAGAAAAAAGTCATGTCACTAACAGATTAATATCTATTGTATGTTGTACGGTAATGCAAATACGTTCGGCTGCAAGTATAAACATGGTATAACTTTAATCACAATGCAAGTGTGTCAAATGTTACTTGTATTATTTTCGGGAAATATGTTGCATTTAATTAAAAGAAATATCGCATGTAGTTGACCTTATGTAAATCACGACACAATATTTCGAGATTCGGGGCATAGATTAGTGATAGCAGCTAAAAATGGGGAAAGCAAGAAGCACTTGATAACATAATTTTGATAACACATTGCAGCGTTTGATCGAAACTATAAATGCTACATTCAAGAACGCGAAGTCCTATGAAAGATGCGTGTTTCAACAATACGTCGACACGTACTCCATGTTTTATGGGCTGGCATCATTGTGGTATTACCTATCAACAACGGTCGTTGTTTTCGGAAGTATTATATTACCTCAACCATTTCCGGCAGTCTCCAAGTATCCGTTCCGCGTCGATTACGAACCCGTGAGGACTATAATCTTTGTTCAGCAGGCCATTGTCGGCTTCCAATGCTCCGCAACGGTCTGCGTGAATATGTTCGCGGCACTCTTAATTCTGTACACTGCGGCGAGGTTCGAGATTCTGATGATAGATATAAAAGAAGCTACCAGCGTTGATGCATTGGTCATGTGCGTAAAAAAGTATCACGTAGTGACCAGGTAAGTAATTTTGGGAAATTCTTTTCCCAGTGAGTGTGAGACTTTTTTTAGAACAATCTTCTCGTAATCAGAGACGTTTATTGTAGACAGTGCCTTATCATTATTTAATTCAAAAACTAATTATCTGTCATAATAATGTAGCAGGTCTTCTGGCTATACTGGTATAAAACTAGTCACCAATGCTGTTTTTTATTGATTCATTCAGAATTGTGCAATATACATTATTATTATGTTATATTACAATGTCACCTTACACAAACGTTTTGCGTTATGTACTCATAAATACCATAAATTGTGAATTGTAATCGTCTATGTTTCATCCAATCCCAGTCTTGGTATTTAATTTCACATCGTTACTATAATCGTTTCATTTGTGTCTCCATAGAATTACCACGAAATTGTGTTGATTTTACGTAGATTCGCGAAGGATGTTCTCAAGGGTACTAGGTATATAGCTTTGTTCACGGTAGTTTATAGCGGTATAGCTCTTGTACTCTGTGGTCTGAATATTATAGGAGTGAGTACTTGAAACAAATACGACATGTTCGAATAGTGACATGAATGCAAGCAAAAACGGTATTTTAGCGGCAACCCTTCGAGGTAAAACTGCAGTTTTTTCTCATGGCTTGGATTACATTGTTGGAGGTTTTCATGTGCGTGTTGCCGGCAGATAATCTGTTAAATGTGGTGAGTTGTGAATCTAAAATTAATGTTATTTGATACGAAGAGTTTTCGTTTCGTTAACGTAAATTTACTTCTTTTTTTTTTATTTGTTCCCGTACGAACTGTTTGTCGCAAGTAGAGCGAGAATACTGTTCGATGTGCGTACGAATCGAAGTGGTACGAACAAGTGCTGGATGTACAAAAAACTGTACTTCGCGTTTTAGTGCCGCAGGTGCCTGTTGCCATCAGCGTGAAGTGTGTCATCCCTATACTTTCTTTGGAATTTTACTGCTCGGTACAGCTCTATTTTATATTGATATTTATTAGTTCGTCTATACGAAATGTGGGATCGCTCAATGAGAAAGAAAGAAATGTTGTTATTAAAAATTCAAGTAAACGTTTTATTAATCGATGTATGCACCGTTTGCATCTACTGTAAAAAACAGAAGTTAATTTAAAATGCATTTGCTCTTTGTGTAATTTCAATAACGATCTCTAAATAATTTCAGAATCCGACATTTCATATTACACGACCCAATATCTCTTTGACACATATACATATATTTGTCCTCAATATAATTATATGAATATTATTTGTGCGATTCCAGTTCATTTCAAACGTAGTCTCGTTGTTTACTCTCCTGCGAATGGTGTTCGGCGATGACGCCGATTTACTGTCGTCCAAACCAACCAATAGTACATGTTGTGTTAATTAATTACTCGTAGCTTCGAATACACGTGGCACAGAAATATATTTGAAAATTTGTAGCCTGGAATAATGGTATCGTTGCGTTGTACCTACTTCTTTACCTTTTACGAAATAGTTAACCTGAAGTTACTGGTATATTATTATTATATTATTATATAATATATATTATTATTATATATATTATATATTATTATTATATTATTATATAATATATATTATTATTATATATATTATATATTATTATTATATTATTATATATATATATACTATATATTATTATTATATAATATATATTATTATATATATATATTATTGTTATTATATATTATATATATTATTATTATGAATCTCTTAATTGCGAAACAAGTGCCCAGTTAGTATAAAATCTTTTTGCAATTCTTAGACAAGATCTGTAGCAATTGCTTTCTCACAAGCGGCGGATAATTGATGTCTTATTGCTAGAGGTGCGCGTGAAAACCCAGGAATTCTCGAAATTTCTTCTTCGAACAATTTTTCAAAGCAAACCTCAACAATAGAGATAAAAGATCCCGTCCCGTTCACGCACACCCCTACTTGTTGCACTATCTCAGTTTCACNTGGTATATTATTATTATATTATTATATAATATATATTATTATTATATATATTATATATTATTATTATATTATTATATATATATATACTATATATTATTATTATATAATATATATTATTATATATATATATTATTGTTATTATATATTATATATATTATTATTATGAATCTCTTAATTGCGAAACAAGTGCCCAGTTAGTATAAAATCTTTTTGCAATTCTTAGACAAGATCTGTAGCAATTGCTTTCTCACAAGCGGCGGATAATTGATGTCTTATTGCTAGAGGTGCGCGTGAAAACCCAGGAATTCTCGAAATTTCTTCTTCGAACAATTTTTCAAAGCAAACCTCAACAATAGAGATAAAAGATCCCGTCCCGTTCACGCACACCCCTACTTGTTGCACTATCTCAGTTTCACCTATTAAGTATACGGTGACCGTATAAGGGTGCTTTATGCACGCAACTTCGTTCCTGTAACTTTCGTTCTGCTAAACGCTCCCCCTCCGCCCCTCACAAATCAAGTTCTAGCGCGGAGCATTAAAACGATTTTCGTAAAATGAATAATACAGTGTCAGCATGCGCGTATTTCTGGAAATAATAATTTATTAATTAAATTACTATTTAAATTTTTGGGGATACGCTGTCGGTTATTCGGGAAATGACCTTCGCACCCGAACGCTCCCAAATGGAGGGTGATCCTATTGGACTCACTTTTTCAATGAATTGTGCGGCGCTTTTGCTATTGTCAAAGAACTTTTGCTGTTGTTTCACGAGTGTCGGCGAAATCACGAAGTCGTTCGTGGAAGTAATGTTTATGTTCGAAACAGTATTCAACTTAATTTATTATCGATGTCAATCTTTGAATATGTATTGAAATCTATACTTGTTCACTTTGAAGAAAAAGAGATCTACAGTAAATTCTTGTAAACAAAAATAGACAACTTGGGAAGAGGAGATAATATTATTCGAGCCTCCTGGTTCATTCTTATAGTTGCCGATTGTCAACAATTACAAAAACGAGGTACAAGTCTCGAATAATTGTAATAAGTCTCTTCCCAAATTGCCCATTTTTGTTTGCAAGCAGAAGAAAAATTAGGGAAAATTTACACTGTACACATATAACTTAATAGCATTTAATAGCAATTTAATTTGTTGCAATTCGATATTGTATAGCTCATACGATTAATGAAACAGTGCCTACTTATTTTCATTACCGATTTTCAACGATAAAATAACGATTTCAGTGTGGTATGACATTACTTTCTTCATAGTTACTAATATAATTTTAAAGAAAAAACACTGTAAATTCTCTTCAATTGTCTCTCAGCTTCCAAACAAAAATTTACAATTTTGAAAGAGGAGATACGACTATTCGAGTCTTGAGGCTCGTTTTCATAGTCGCCGATTGTCAACGATTATAAAAACGAGGTGCAAATTTCGAATAATAATCGCATCTGCCCTTCCCAAGTTTTTGTTTACAAGCTGAGGGAAAATTAGGGAAAATTTACTGTACTCTAAACAGGCACAAGATATTTTCTGGAGTGTTTACGATTCTCCTTGGATGAACTCGGCGCCAGGAGCTCGCAAAGCGGCGATGATTATTATTGAAAAACGTCAGAAACCCATTGCAACAAATGCAGGTCGATTTCGTACTGCATGATCTTCGAAGCTCTGTGGCCGAGTGAGTTAGAACTCTGCGATTGAAAGAATATTAATTTCGAATATACGCTAATACCTATCGTCCTACAGGTCTATTTCGCGATTTTCTCCGCGTTCTCGACGATTAGGGCGATACAGTGATTGAATCTGTAAACGTATGTACGCTGAAAGCAGAATTAAAAATCAATAAATTCTGAGGAAATCTTGTTGTTCGCCCAGATTCCATTAAAACTTACGACTGTTCCCTGCGATCACGAAAACAAAGAACAAAGAAAATGTAAAATTGTTTTTGCAACAACAGTGGTACACGACACATGTATAATATTAATCTCACTCACACGTATTTTCCGATGCTCCCACGAGATGCACAAAACATACGCTATTCTTTTGCCTTTGTTTACTTGGTAATATTAATTGATTCTTATTTATATGCAACAACTGAACGAAGAAAATGTTCGACTGAAACGTGTGTCGCAAATATTAAACCTAGTTGGTAGTAATTGCCTCGTTGCAATTGGGATCGTTAACTGACTTCTCAAGGCGACGAGAACGTGTATAATGACGAACGGAAGGGAAATATTCTAAATATCGTGCTTGAAAAAACATATTCCACGTATTCCAACATTATCAAATATGCTTGCGTTTTTTCAGCACCTGGATTAAACATGAGATACTTAATAGGTGGTGTATGGACGGAAAACCACGGATAACAATGACGCACCGTGGATTCGCGTGAAAGAGAAATGAAAGCGAAATGAAAGAAAATTCAACGGCGCTGGAAGTGAAAACCCTTGGGCTATCATTATGCGTTACCGTTTCTTCGTAATAACTAGGTACCAATGCCCCAACCAGCCCTTATTAATTCATCGGCCGCGTGCCGCTCTTGCTTCGTAGATAGCGGTATTAACGCCATTATCGAAGCAACCTCAACACGGAACAGTTCTCTTGCTCGGCAGCAGTTCAATTTCCGCTTCTTTCCGGGTTACGATGTTCTCGAACGTGACGCCGAGAACAGCTGTTACCTTCACCAAATACAGCGTGCTTCTGTGCTGCGGTTGGCCACTACCCTCGACAGCGACGAAATGTCAGTATTACGTTTACATGGTCTTGAAATTTCTGTCCATTTTAATCGACATCGCGGTGATTTTGCCTGTATTCTGGGCGCTTTACATTTACATCGACGATCCAGTGATCACCGGTAAGACGTTCGGGCTTGGGACTGCTTTAGTTCAGACGCTCGCGAATATGATCATCTGCTCCGTTCAACACAATCATTATCAAGTAAGATGTTCCAAATTTTAATCCATTTGTTATTAACCCATTACCGCCTTCTGTACCTGCACAGGTACAACTACTTAATCGATAAATTATGTATTTTGAACGACCTTGTTTCAAACAATTTCACTCCTAAAGCGCCCATTGTACACGGCTGAGTATACCCCTAAAACTTGATATGTAAATATATTTTTTTCATTTTATCTTCTTATATAGCATAGTTTATCCCTTATGGACTAATAAATAGAAAAACAATAGAAAAATATACTGCAGTTTCATTTTGGGCGTTAATGGGTTAATAACAAGGTGAGGACCACAGGGTTTGACGCTCAATTTTTGATAAGATTCGGTACGGTGATAGAGCTCGTAAAGATGTATCCAATGATACCCGGTTTTGGAGACAGACGGTTTATAGTTTTTTGCCTAATTAATAATTAGTAGTACACAGGTTGGGTGTTGGCACTGAGTGATCCGCGAGCAGGCTTGCGAGCTATAAGGACTTTCAGAACTTACTCCCACTTTTCTAACCGCAAAAGAAGGAGAAAAGGAGTAGGGGGTCGCTGAGAGCAACGCGAAACCACACTCCCCACTTCTAGTCCGTTTCTCCTTCCTTTGCGTTGGACAGTAGTTACTCAAGAGGGAGCAAATTCTGAAAGTTCTTACGGCCAGCGACTCCTGTTCCTGATGTTATTATTTTTCATTTGTTTTCATTCTGCTTTACCAGCAGTGTTTGACCGTTTCAATACCTTCTTACAAGGTGAGGTCCCCAGGATTGACGCTCATTTCTTGATGAGATTTGGTACAGTGATAGAGCTTGTAAAGCTGAATCCAATGTGCAGCGACTCGTATTAATATTCGGACACCTTGTAAAGCGGAATAACTTCTCTAAAAGTCAGAGCCAGAAAAAATAGTGTCATCTAATATGTTCAGTATTACCTGATGTTTCAGTCGATACAGTTTATTTCATTATGTGTTTACGCTATAACATGATACATCATCAAGACTTATATATTATAATATAATATAATAAAATATAATATAATATAATATATATAATTATAATATAATATATTATGTTACAGTGATAGAGCTTATAAAGCTGAATCCAATGATACCCGGTTTTGCGGGCAGACGGCTTATAGTTTTTGATATAATTAATTTTAAAGTTGTTCATAAAAGGCCAGGAAGACGCGCTGGAGTATAGCGCGAGGTAGCCGGAGCGAACCTGCCACCTTCCCCCACTCCCTAATATTTCTAGTACTGCGCTGTGGTACTCTTTCGCTCGCGTTACTGGGAACGGTTCGGCTCCGACCGATGATGCCCGAACGGCGCACCGATTCACACCGCACGTACGCTCCCCCATTCGGTCAAAGCCGAGCCGTTCCGCGTAGGCATGTCGGTTTTGACCGGGCATCATCGGTCGAAGCCGAACCGTACCGAGTAATACGAGCGAGGGGATACCACGCCAGCACAGGACTACGAATATTAGGGAGTGGGGAGAGATGGGAGGTTCGAACCGGCCTACCTGACTCTCGCGCCGTAATTTAGCGACGTCTTTCTGGCCTTTTGTTTACAACTTTATTATTTATTTAGAACTCTTGCTCTAGAGCTCTTGCGCTGTAATCTCGTCGGAAAATGAGCGTTAACACTTTAAGGACATCTCCTTGTAAGAAGTAAGGCGCACTTAGAGCCTTTAAAAATAAAACTCTCTATTGATTCTGAAATAACAATACAGGGTGTCCCAAAAAAGCAGCTTCTTCCTTTACAAAAATTTTCTGCGAGGCACCGTTAACGAGTTATTAAGCGCACGAAGCCCAGTTCCGCTCATTGGCTCGGTCGCCTCGCGCCAGCCGAGCTCGCCTCTCATTGGTCACTGTTTTCCGTTAATAACTCGTTAATGGTGCCTCGGAGAAAATTTTCGTAAAGGAAAAAGTTGCTTCAAACGACCTGAGGAACCCGCCAGTTTCGGACTGCGAGTCACTTTTGGGATACCCTGTATACAGGATTACTTTCCGTGATCGCTACTTCTTTACCGTCGTTCTACGGTGTTTCATAATACATGCTGTTCTCTAGTATCTACATTTACACCGTATAATGTTTCAGCGATTGATCGAGGAAATGACGAGTTATTTAGATAAAGCGAAATCCTATGAAATGGCTATCTTCCAACAATACGTGGACAAGTATTCTCCATATCACGGGTTCTCCACAATGATGTTCTATTTTTGCGCGACACTTGTCGTGTTCTCAAGCATGTTCTCGGATCAGCCGTTCCCGACAATTGCCGAATATCCGTTCCGCGTCGATTACGAACCCGTTAGAACAGCTATTTTCATGAATCACGTTCTCACCGCTTACCAAAACGTTTCGAGCGTGAGTTTGAATACGCTGGCAGCGTTGCTGCTTTTATTCGCTGCTGCAAGATTCGACATACTGATGCTGACTTTAGAAGAGGCTGTCACTGTCACGGACTTGAAGGAATGCATGAAAAGTTACGATGAAGCGAGAAGGTGAGAATAACGATCCGTATACGAAGAATTGTCAGAGATTCGTCTTTCCACTGGCCAAAGTTGGTCTTCCTTTTTCTAATCAGAACGAGGATCTATAAGCCACTTAATTACATGGAAATCAAAACAAGGATATTACACATTTTTCAAAATGGATTTCATTCAAAATGGATGTTATTTTCATTCAAAATATTATACATTCCTGTTCAAAATGTTATATATTTTTATAGAAAATGAATAACATTTTTATTAACTCTCACATTTCTTGTAGTTTAAAAATTTGAAATTGCCATAAACACACAAAGATCGGCAGTCTATTTATAACGAATACAAATTTTATTTTGCCTATAAAATACAGAGTGAGTCATCTGATATTTGTATCTGAAATATCTTTGTTGCTTTCGGGCTCACAAGGTACTGTAAAATCATTGTTTCTTTGTCATTTTTTTCCAAATATCGGATCAACGAAATTTGTTAAAATGGTTTGCCTTAATCTATGCATTATGATAGTTGAGGTAAGAACGAATCCAACGACCTTCACGTGACCTTGTGTATAAAGAATTTACAAAAAATCGACAACCAATAAAGATAGTGAAATAATAGAAACAGTAGAATGATTACTTGCAATAGTAAATATTTTCAATATTTTATGATGAAATCATAGCTTATTGCAGTACCACTTAAGAAAATTTCGATGACCTCGATACCTCGAATAAAAATGACGTAAAAACAAATAATTTTTATAGTATCGTTTACAAAACAATAATATTTCAGGTACAAATGTACGGTGACTTATCGTGCATGATTTCTCATTTAGAAATGATTCATTTTATTTCAACATGTGCATTAATGATACATAATATTTCAATTTAGATATGCACATGATGTGATTGGCGGCATCCAATATCTGTCTTTGTCCTCAGTAGCGTTCAGTAGCGTAATCCTTGTAAATGGCGGTATTAATATCATCGGAGTAAGTAATTAGGCAACTTGGATTCATTGGAGATGAAATACGACGTGATACTAAGATGAAACATCTGTTAACAGCGCCGTGAGTTTCCGGTGAAGTGTCAATTTGTATTTGTGATTATAGTGACACTGTTCGAAGTTTTTTCGTTCGTATTACCAGCTGATTCTCTGATAGAAGCGGTGAGTTATTAATTGACAACGGATTAGTGAAAACAATGAACCATGTAAAGGGCTAAGTACAATACCGAGGACTACAGTACTTTTGAATTTCTGTTGTGCGTCTTATCTTACGTTTTTTTCCATAGATGGTGTATTATACGTAATATACGTGTCCCAAAATTATTGTACAAGCGGGAAATGAGGGATTCCCGAGATCATTTGAAGTAACTTTTTCCTCTACAAAAATTTTCTCCGAGGCACCGTGGACGAGTTATTAACGAAAAACACTGACCAATGAGAAGCGAGCTCGAGTAGGCGCGAGGCGGCTCTACCAACGAATGGTCGAAGCCCAGTTCCGCTGATTGGCTCAGTGGCCTCGCGCCAGCTGATCTCGCCTCTCATTGGTCACCGGTTTTTCGTTAATAACTCGTAAACGAAGCCGCGAATTGCATTTTCGCTGAGGAAAAAGTTACTTCAAATGGTCTCAGGAACCCCTCATTTCCCGCTTGTACAATGATTTTGGGACACCCCGTGGAACATCAGTTTAATTAACTTTATTATTATTCTAAATATTTGTCTTATGCTACAATTACTATTACACGCGCTATTCAGTTGATCGAGATTCTACTGTATCGCAATGATATTTTTCGAAAAGTATATCTCGTTTTATCCGAGAATTCCAAGCATTTTGCATTAATATTTCCGACGTCACGGAATATTTTCTCATTTGTAATAACTACCAGCGCGTCTACTGGTTACTAACATTAATTGTTTAAGTAGGATTTACTACTTAGAGTACAGGTGCTATCCTGGGTGTCTACAATATGAAGTGGTACGATCAAGATTTAAATGTGCAGAAAACTGTGCTGCGTATGTTGGTGCCTCAGAAGCCGATAGACGTCAGCTTCATATACGTTATTCCACAACTGTCCTTGAACTATTACTGTTCGGTACATATTTACACATATACTTATCCCTGTAACGAACCTTCGCACTTACTTTGTACAAGTTCTTCTTCCATTCTTTAGTACATTTCAGGCGCTTTCTCCCTGTTCACGGTTCTGCGACTCGCTCTGGACGACTCAGAAGTTACAGTGTCGTCCAACACTCTTAACACCACTTGTTGCTACGATTGATACGATTTGTTTCATCGAATGTTTGTAGTCAAAAGGTGGTGTAGCATTCAGATATGCCGTGCAAACTTGTGTCAACCACAGCTGTTACTCATTTGACCTCAAATCGATCATTTATAGCTAAAGATTTCTGAATAAATGCAGCAGTAGTAAACTGACAAGTCATCACGAGTAGTGTAATTCCATAATTTTTATATAGTGCAAAGGGTTAAGTCCTTGGTTGGAAGAATTGAAAGAAGAATTAATTTCCAGTAGATATTAACACCTATTATTAGTCCTGTTTCATAGTATTTCATTAGTCTTAATTCATAGTGTTTCATTAGATCTATGCCATAGTATTTCATTAGTCCCAATTTATAGTGTTTCATTAGACCTATTTCATAGTATTTCACTAGTCCTATTTCATAGTATTTCATTAGTCCTATTTCATAGCATTCCAGTAATCTTATTTCACAGTATTTCATTAGTTCTATTTCATAGTATTCATTTAGTCCTAATTCATAGTATTTCATTAGTCCTATTTCATAGCATTCTAGTAATCTTATTTCATAGTATTTCATTTAGTCCTAATTCATAGTATTTCATTAGCCTTAATTCATAGTACATTCATTAGGCTTATTTCATAGCATTTCATTACCTTTTCATTCCTACAATGCGCAAGTTGCAAGCAAGATAAGAATTTCTTATATCTGAATAAATTTTATTACTCACTTATACAGACGTAACAAATGCTTAACAGAATGGACTTCTATGAAATTACGATCACTGTTCACCGCAATCTTCCTTATATCTTCCTTATTTTATCTTTTTGCTATACAATAACTTAACACTATTAACGAACTAAACGCTGCTGGCCCTGATAGACTGCAACAGGAAAAAACTTCAGAGGTTCCCTTTCGTTTTGGTTCTCGCTCAAATCCTCTCGACGAAACGAAAACGAAGTGGTTTATTGGGCACGTTCATCATCATGAACTTGCTCTTGATATCGGCGTAATCGTACTCGATCCTAAATTGTCGTACGATCTAAGAAAACGAAAAACAGAAGGTCAGCGAAATAAGCACTTTCGTGGATAGCAATTTCGATACCTTTGCAGTGAGTAACATCATCGTGGTCTCAGCTATGTTCTTTCCTAAGCACGACCGTATGCCATAACCGAATGGTAAGCAGCTGAAGTCTGTGTTCTCTTCGCAGTTGCTGGACAACCATCTTTCCGGTCGGAATTTTTCAGGGTCTTCGTAGTTTTCTTCTCGTAGAGACGATATCTGGTTCGCCATTATGACGAACGTCTGAAAGCATTTAGGTAAATTACTATGATATTTTGTCACGCATGTACAGTAAATTCTGCCTAACTCGCGCTAAGCTTGTGAACGAAAATGGATAATTTGGGAAAAGGGGATACAATTATTCGAGCCTCTCGGCTCTTTTTTACAAGTACCGATTGTCAACAATTATAAAAACGAGATGCAAGGTTCGAATAATCGTTTCCTCTCTTCACAAGTTGTTCATTTTCGTTCATAAGCTGAGCAATTCTCAGTTAGGGAGAATTTACTGTAATTCTTCCTTTCTGACTCGAAAAGAGTAAATAATATTCGTAATTATAGTACATTTTAATTCGCGCTCAGATTGTGCACAGAAATGGACAATTTGGAAAGAGGAGATACGGTTATTCGAGCCTTGCGACACGTTTTCATACTTACCAATTGTCAACGAGTATAAAAACGAGATGCAAGCTGAAATAATGGTATCTTCTCTTCCGAAATTGTCGCGAATTAGGGAGAAACTACTGTACATTCAAAAAATAAAGCATCAATTCGAGGGTTTGCAAATACGTTTTTAGTGCGCTAAATTCCAAAAGTGCTAGCAAGCATATATTCAAGAAAGAAAGCGTCGATTCAAGGGTTCCCAAGAGTATTTTTAATACATTACAATAAATTCTCCCTAATTTTTCTTCAGCTTGTAATCAAAACTAGACTATTTGGGAAAAGGAAATACGATCATTCGAGCCTTGCGACACGTTTTTATAGTTACCGATTGTCAACGACTATAAAAATGAGATGCAAAGCTCAAATGGTGGTATTTCCTTTTCCGAAATTGTCCATTTTTGTGCGCAATCTGAGTACAAATTAGGGAGAAATTACTATACATTCAAAAAATAAAGCATCAATTCGAGGGTTTGCAAATACGTTTTTAGTGCGCTAAATTCCAAAAGTGCTAGCAAGCATATATTCAAGAAAGAAAGCGTCGATTCAAGGGTTCCCAAGAGTATTTTTAATACATTACAATAAATTCTCCCTAATTTTTCTTCAGCTTGTAATCAAAACTAGACCATTTGGGAAAAGGAAATACGATCATTCGAGCCTTCCGACATGTTTTCATAATTACCGATTGTCAACAATTATAAAAACTAGCCGCAAGCCTCGAATAATCGTATCTCCTCTCCTCAAATTATCCATTTATGTAATTCTAGTTTCACTGGTATAACATTACTTACTCCTTTCGGTATCGTGTATCCATGAAGAGATATAGTCTTCGGTAACAGTCTGGTGAAATATGGGAACGCTGGACGCAACCTACACACGAAATACATGATCCATTTGCAATACATTACAACACATTACAATATAATACAGTACAATCAGAATATTTGTGAACGAACATGAATTAAATAAAATACGAAGCTTATTAGGAAACGCAAATTTGCGCGAACATCGTCAGTCACATCATACTGCACAATTGCTGAAACAATTGCTACCTGAGACTCTCTTGAAGACACGCTTTCAGATATCGCATTTCCTTCAACGATCCTTCGGTTATGGCGGAATTAATGGTTGGTAAAACGTTCATAATCTCGTCGAACAGTTTCTTCTGGGTCCTCGGATTTTTTGCCAAATGATACATTAGGAAAGCCTCGCAGTTCGCCGTCTAGAAACGATTCTGGTTAACGTTCTTACTGTTTTCTTTAACCCGAGAAAGATAACCTACGTCGCAGAGGCGCCTGCGAAGACTGTTGATTTTTGTTAATTTTTCATAGAGGTCTAGTGATTTAAGTTTAAAATTACTTAAAATATAAAAAAATATAATATAAATGCATTTTATTTTTACAATAATGCCAAACCTTTAAAATGACTATATTAACTTAAATAAATATCCATTGTTAGTATAAAATTGACGCCTTAGAAAAGCATGCGCCTCTGAAGCGTATGGTTATCTTTTACGCACGTTGTCATATGGTTATCTTTCTAGGGTTAAGAAACGCTTTTTCCTTTCCCCGCAATTATGTTACGACCTTGGAATGTGTTGCCGAGGTCACAATTCAGAACAACTTTTTCCTATACACGTTATAGTAAGTAATGTCTCTCTAATTGACGCTCAGATTCTCCACCAAAATGGACAATTTGAAAAGATTTTATTATTTTGTCACAAACAAAACAAACAAGTGCAATATCTATACTTCATACCAGGTGATCTACATAAAGCTACGATCAAACCATGTTATTGTTATGTGCATCATGGCATTATCCTTTAGTNACATAAAGCTACGATCAAACCATGTTATTGTTATGTGCATCATGGCATTATCCTTTAGTTTTTCGGTCCGATATCAGTTATTTTTTCACAAATGATTGAAAGTGCAATATCTATACTTCATAAACAGGTGATCTACATAAAGCTACGATCAAACGATGTTATTGTTATGTTACGTGCAAATACTGTCTCTATCAAAGAGAATTGATTTTTTTCTTTTTCTCTACTGATTTTATATTTATGTCATTCGCATGATCTTCAACAAACATTTAAGTACAATTGGGATTACAGTAATGTCTCTCCAATTGACGCCCAGATTGCGCACAAAACTGGACAATTTGAAAAGAGAAGATACGATTATTCGAGCCTTGCAGTTCGTTTTCATAGATACGAATTATCGACAACTATAGAAAGCTGCAAGGCTCGAATAATCGTATCTCCACTTCCCAAATTGTCCATTTCTGTGGACAATCGGAGCGTCAGTAAGGGAGACATTACTGTACTCTCCCATTATTTCGAAATATGCTTCTTCTTGAATCTCGTGAATATCATTCTTACTTTGGTGTTTACGATCTCTTTCCCGAAACCTCAGCAAATTCGACAAATTCGACGAAAATGATCCGGCATTTTTCGCGTAGGTGCGATACTTTCGCTCGGCGCTAAAAGGGCTAGGAACTATCGAAAACGTAGCAAGCGAACCGAATGAAGAGGCCACGCGTTCATTCCGCGTGGATTCGAGTGCAATAAG